CTCAAATCCAAGAAAATGTCAGCAGCACGTGAGAGTACGCTTGGAATAGAATACGTCAACCTGTTAGATTTTCACATAATGAACATGTGTGATCAAAGGCGTACCGGTACGTACCAGCAGCGATGATAATTACTCCCATTGCAGATACCATCTTGGTGGGCTCCACAGGCATCACGTCAGCTAAGCCTCTAAAAGATTTAAGCACCAAGCGATTCAATTAAAAAAAATACAAAGTTGATGGAAATTGCAGTAATTTCAGACTTTCAACAAACCCAGTTCGTTTTCAGGAGAAAATCTGGGCCAACCTCCTCAGAATAACGACGTTTCTCTCCACGCTTTCTGCTTTGCCGTATCAGTTACAATCAATGCAGCGTAACGTAATTCAATGCAACTCCCAAATCTTACCCAAGTCCATAGACCTGTCGTCACCGCTTTTTGTCGAAGGGCGCCCCTTTTGATTTCAAAGATTCTCATTTCCGACCAACCCCTGTTGTGGTTCCAAACCAAATACAATAACCTTCTTCTTTTCAAGGCCACCGACCCTGTCTGCATCTTTTGACCATGAACATTAAAAACGAGACACCCTCCTTCCCGTTTTGTTGGGAAAAGGTGGACAATAGTATCCCATGTTACCAGCTGGCATGGGCGTAATTACCTGTACAGTGGCACACACTGCGTAAAACAGGGCACCAGTGATTCCATAGAGCAGGGAACAGAGCGATTCACATCCAACTTCTGGTTGACCTGTTATCAAGTTATTCATGTCCCTGGAGCTGTGCTTTCTTTGTTTTTACTTTATTTCTGTTACTTTACTTTATTTTCGAGCAAGAAGGTTCAAATTCGTAAACAATCAACAATGGGCAAACATGTTACATGTGCAGAATATACAAATCGGTGAATGAAAGCAACTCAGATTTACTCGTCCAACGTGTTTGCATAGGGCCGGTGTCCACGTTTAAAGCAATTTATTATGCAGATTAGGTACTACTGTAAAACCCATCCGACCAAGGTAGATCAAAGTCGTTTTGAAAGAAACGGAGTTTATGTGCTCATCCGAAATGCCAGGGAATGAATCGGCTAGTAGTAGACCAGTGTCGATGATAATTTCACCTCAGTGTTATTTAGTTGGTTTCGTTTTGCAACTTAATTTGAATTCCTGTCCCTAATAGATGGCTATGCGGGATGTAGATTTGGTATGGTTTAGTGTAATTTATTCCAAAGGACTGAATTTTTACGTGCACATAACAGTCTTAAACTTAATGCAGAACATAGGAATAGCATACTCAAGTACATACAATGAATACACTCTTACTATTTCAGCAAACAAATCCTTCCCGAGGCCAAAACATGAGGCTCTATAGAATACTAGCGTTTCACAATAGTGCGCCTCCAAGAGTGTGCAACGTGTTGGCAAATCACAGTGCGCGAAATTTGTCTACCCAATGCGCGTTTAAAAAGGATGCTCTGAAAACTCGGACTGCACTGATTATGGTACGCAGTGTAGTATGGCATAGTAATGATAGCTTGCATAGTTATGATTATATCTTGAATCTCACACTTTTCACTGCGATGCTGTGAGTCGATAATGATATTCAACGATGTCTCGTTACCCTGACAATCATCTTTACACAAAACGCTTCTTATCCGTCCACCGGATGGCTAATAACCATGGGTCATTAATGATTGAGTTTTATCCAATATAGGCCTACAAACATCATTATATCGCAGTTGGGTATTAAAGGAACCGTGCAATGAATTTTTCTTAAAATCCTTTTTTGTGTGTTTGTCTACTCTTCTTCAATGTCTGAAGACTGTATGGAACCGTTTTTTTAGGCTACGAGAAATGAAAAGTGCATTTCTGAAACCTCCAAAAGTGACCAAGCACATGCAAACCAGTGAGGGCGCTTTTTTCCCGTGATGTAAGCCCAGGAAGACTCTTCTCAGTTTGCATGTTTTCATGTTCAAATTGTGATCTCGAAATTTACTGTGTGAAAACATTTCTGAGAAAAGAATGTTCACTGGCTTTATTGCCATAAACTTACATTACAAAAGTTGCATTTCAGACTCTTTCTGAAATGGTCATGTCACAGAAATAGCTATAGGATTGGTACGAAGATGCATACTGAAATTCTAACGTCCAAACTTCTCCCCAGATTGTTAGATTAACGAGATGAATTGAGAGCAGAAAGAGCAGTTTTTAGGTGAAGTTTGAGTTTTCTCTGATGTGATTTAGCATTGACTTTCGATTTCGTTTTAAATGGCCATTGTGAAAACTTTTCAGTTTGTTCCTTATTTGTGTTTCTACTACAAAGCGACCTAAGAGAATAAAAGGGGATAAGTTTCAGCAGCCTTCACATAACCCGACGTTAACTTACCGATTTGGATGGACGTTGTAGGAGCGCTGCACGCAGAGAGAGGGGAGGCAGCCGATACAGTCCGTCAGAGCCAATGATATTTTGACGGTCAACTTCAACGATGATCAGCCCCTAAAAAAATAATGGGCGACAAAGGCCTGCCGGCACATAGACCAGTGATTTCAGCCGGGAAAACAAAAACGCATTTTAACACACATCACTGGACCTCTTGAATTAGTCTGGACGTTAAATTTTCATTTCGGCCTTGCACACAGATGAACCAGGCAGGACTGTCTCCATGGCAAAATGCTACAACATAACAAAGGTTCTACATTCATGCTACGGGTGTACATATTACGGGCGAAAAGATGAATTGGCTCACATGTGCACACTCCAACTGCTTCGCCTACTGTTAAACATGCAATAACTCATATGGTTTGGTTCATTGGGAAACATAATAGGAGCTTCCAAAGGCTATATTCTATATCGAGCGATTTCTTTTCCATTACCCGGTTAGTGATGGCGTGCTTGTGAACACGAGGTACTTTTTGGAGATCACTCCTTTTTGGAAAAATCAGGGCCACAAAAGGAAAAAAATCCCACTCTCTTTGAAATGAAATTTAGAGGTACATGTAGTACTGTTTCCGAAATGCTAGCGCTTTCACTCGGCCATGAAAACAGAAACATCATGCAATGTTACGCCATTCATAATTGCGTGGACAATGAAAAGGCGTTCAGATGACTGTATAATACGATCCTTCTTCCCAGCGTTAACTTTTACTGACAAAGTGCAGTAAAAAAAAGGGATATGGCAGTAGTGTAAAAGTGCTCTTGTGCTTAATTATTTTACACAGTATCTATAGGCCATGAGAGCAATACGTTTTAGCTGTTTCAAATAAATTAACCGTACCGTATACGTGTGACATTTTGACAACGAAATCCTTTATTTCTTTTCCTCAAGTAAACAGAAAGTGGATCCTGGAGAGAAAAGAAAATCACAAGTTATGTGGTACCGACAAAGCATTCAGGCGAACGGACTCCTGGTACTTTTTGCAAAGTGTAGCAGTTATCGTCAAATTTACTTCGCTTTCGCGATCTGCTGCAGAATAAACCAGCTTTATTATTCGAGATGATTTCTCCACAGAAAAATTACAGTGGCACGAGAAAGTTAAACGATTAGGCACTGTTTTATCTTGCATTCAAAGTGGTTTTTTTTAAATTCCAAACACTTAGTATGTGTAAGTTTAATTCCACGTTCATTGCTAAATCACTGCTACACACAATTAAAGTATCTCTAACTGTCCATAGGTCAATATTGCGTCTAAGTACGTTGCTTGTCCTGATGGAATAGACGTCTCACTTTATTTTTTGTGTGTGAAAAAAGAAACCATAGCCTTTTTGAGAGGATTGAATTATTCCTATGGGAGTTTTTCAAACCTCGACTTGATCGTTTCGGTTCCATGTTTTAGGATGCCGAATTTGGAGATTTCTGGGTCTTCAAAATCCAATCTTTTTCCTGTGAACTCCTAGCCACAAGAGGGAGCACTACACTTCCCATTCTGTGTATTATAAGCACCTTAGATGAGAGTCATTTTCTTTGAGTAGGACCTACAAATTTCATCACCATCCTGCGCGGGTTTAGCATGGCTTCTTTCTTTCTGCAACATTGAAATCCGAATTCTACAGACCTTTCTTTTGTGTGCTAACATTAAAATTGGGGCTTAGCATGGGTTCTTTCTTTCTGCAACATTGAAATCCTAATTCTACAGACCTTTCTTTTGTGTGCTAAAATTAACATTTTGGAGTAGGCGACAAAAGCTGCAATGAATTTATCTGTTCATTTTTTAACACTTTGTGACGACAGGCCACAATCTGCCTGAGCAGAAGCACCCCCTCATCGATTGACGGGGAGTGTTCATTTTGTTGGCAGCGATAAGTCTGCAACGCTTGCGTTTCTTTGTCGTTCGTAAACCAACGATGTGTACTTTCCACCAAGGGACGGAAGGAGCCTTCGTTGTGGGGAAATTGCGCCCTCTCTTGGTCCAACTCAGGACCCATTTTGCTAGCCATGCACCAACTGGCAAAAACGGCAAATTTGACGTGGAAAAATGGGCCTGGACTCATGCTGACCAGCAACACACACAGGCAAGTTGAAACACCCAGTACTACTAGTCAGTGCAATATAACCATCCACGTACACTGTACACACACACGTATACATGTAGACACT